GGGAATCATCACCTGGGGGATCTTGCTGACTGAAGCTTCAAAGTCATGTTTCTAGAGCCTGAGGTTCTTCACCTCTAGCATGGTCCTATGTGGTGCTTGTGTTGCTGGTGTCTGGACAGAAGGCCTTTGACATCACCTCTTACTCAGGAGGGGGAACAATCATACATGCATTCTTTATTCCTCACTGAAGTAAATTCCCAGTTACCTGAGGCCATGATCCCATTCATGCAAACTTCCTATTACAGAAGGAGAGTATACTCTTATAGGCTCTGCAGAGAATTCTGAGCTCTTCCATCTGTGAGATGGAGGGGCATGGTGATTACTGCTGGTTCATAGAAGTGGAACAGCCATAGTGAGACTCACATCCATTATTGGAGGAAATTCCAGAAGCTAGCCGGCCCAGGCTTCAAAAGCTTGAGGTAAGAACTTCTGACTGAGTAGAAACTACTGAGGCCTGTCAGCAATAAGAACAAGGTAGCCATAACAAACCTCATGTCTTCCACCAAGGCACAATAAGTGTGCCCTCATCACAGTTTCATAGAAGATGGAAGTGTTCTTGATTCCTGCTGTGTTTTCCACACTCGAAAGGCACTTGTGTATCCCAGAGTCAACTGTTCACAGAATAGTGAGGTGTTCTTTTAAGAATATAAATCTAACAGCTGGAGATATGGCTCAGTGGGTAAGAGCACTGGCTGAGCAAGCATGAGGACCTGAGTGGGATTCTTAGCATCTTTGAAGAGAGGAAGACATGGCTGTATCTGCCTGTAATGCCAACATTGCAAAGAAGAGACAGCGTCTGAGGCTCACTGGTCAGCCAGCATAGCCAAAAAACAAAAACAAAAATAAACACAGAAAACAAAGAACTAAACAAAAAATAAGCTGAGTACCAAGTTCAGTGAGAGACCCATGCCTCAAGAGGGTTAAACTGAGAGTGACAGCATAAGACATCTGATATCCTCTTCTGGTCTCCACACATGTGCATGCATGGACATTGTGCACTTGAGCACTCCCACACCCCCCCCCAACACACACACCTGATTCAGTTTCTCTGTCTAAATTCCTTCTAGCGTTTCTCATTCTAATCAAGATAAAAGGCAAACTTTGGGCCCTACAGATTCTACTCAGATACTCTCAGATAGAGTCTCATCGCTCTTCTCCATGCTCACAAAGCTGTGGCCACTCTGGTCTCCTGTTGATCAAACATTCCAGTCATTCCTACCTCAGGGCTGTTGCACTAGCTGGGTTCTTCCTGTCATCATTGCTTGGCTTTCCCAGACTTGGGTCAGCTTACAGGCAAAATAACCACAGGCAGATTTATAAACTTTACTTTGCATGTTCGATATGGATTTGTTTATCTCCCAGTTCTTACACAGCTGAAGCCTGACACAGTTTGATACATTTGGATTGTAAAGTGGAGACCAAAGCTCAAAGACAGAATGGTACTTAATCAAAGCCACTCAGGTTTGGGGAGGTACAAGACTGTTCAAGTAAAAATCCAGAGGTTGTTGTGTGATGTAGATTTAAAGGGGAAGAAATTTTATCTGAACACTGCTTAAACCTTAAACCCACTCTGATTAAAATACTAGGTTTCGCCAATGGAGAACTAGTCTCTCTTCGTGTGTGTGTGTGTGTGTGTGTGTGTGTGTGTGTGTGTGTGTGTGTGTGTACATAAAAACATTTGCTTTGACTTTGCTGAGTCAAGGTTGAGCTGTATATAGAAAGGCAGAGACAATCCATATTTCTTATCCCAACTTTCCTCTGTAACAAAATAGTGTTTTTTTTGTTGTTGTTGTTTTGCTTTTTTTTTTTAAGGCTAGAAGGGAGTGTTTTATAATTTATGGATTCCTCTCTGGAAATTACAGATAGATCTTAATTTTAAAAAGCAAATTGGTCTCATCTAATTAAATTTGGAAATTGCCTCATAAACACATATTTCATGATAGACGGCTCTAAAACTGAGGTCTCCTGTTTGCTTACAGGGTCAAGGTTGGCTTGAGCTCATTGTGGAGGGAACTCCACCTTTCTCTCTGCTCAAGAGGGCATGGTCCTCTGTCAGTTGCACAAACATTCTAAAATGCCACATTGTCTAGGAAAACACTACTCAATTGTTAATGCCTACATGAATCTACCAGGGGTCTGATTACATTGGCAATTTTGACTCCGGAAGCACTGATGGGGCATGATGTGTTGTATTTCTCAAGTTCCCAGGTGATGCTGGTTCATGGAGCACACTGTTATATCAGAGACTACACCTGAGTTCAGGAGATGAGAATATGCCATCCTGACTGATGGCACCCTGATACATCACATTTCTACCCCTCAACTTTTTCATTTTAATGAAATGTTAATACTTCTTAATTCCAAAGACTGTGCTAATTATATATTTTATATGAACCTTACAGCAACCTCATCTGGCAAATTACATTAATACTTTTTCTAGTTTTTTTTTTTCAGTTGAGAAGCTTGCCATCCTTAAGAGAATATCTGATGTGCCACAGTCCACATACCAGGTAATGAGGTGAACTTGGATTCTGATCAAGGAGCCTGACCTCCAAGTTAACATTCTTAGCATGCTTGGGCCTCATTAGCTTGTAACATGCACCACCACAGTCATCCCTACACACTGAATAAAATGGACCAAACACACAAAAACAGTATCCCCAAAGAGTTTTGGTGTGTTCCCAAATGCCTCACAAAATGTCAATTGGCAGCAATCTACTGGCCCTGATTCTCTATAATCAAAGCCCACGGAGTTACTTAAAAATATCCCCATCATCACAAAGCCATCTCCAAAAGTCCATCATGGAAATGGATTCAGGTTTTTGATTTCCTACAAGGCATTGGGTTCAAAACTAAGTAAGCCAGGTAAGCTTCTCCATCTTTCTCTCATTTTGTGTCTACTGCTCCAAAGACTGTACCTCACACCGATGATACAAATTCAGGAGTTGTTATTCAACAAATCTAATGCACAACTGTGTTTTGGCCACTTTCTCTGTCCATCTATTTCTTTATCTAATCACAGAAAGGCAAGACATTGCTTTGCTAGTCCAGAGCAATGCATAGCCCTCTGATATAAAAACCGATGCTGCTCTTGAAAAAGAAGTCTACGCAGAGAGATGCAGGCATACTTTCAAAACAGTGGAACCTAGTGGTTTTCACTAGCAGGTAAGTGTAAGGAAAAAAACCTTTCCATGACCAAGCTGTCGTCATTTCAAATGAGAAAAATAATGCAATTGCCATGAGCTATTCATAAAGCTGAATTCATTCAATTTCAGACCCTTTTATTCTGAAATGACATCCTTTTGTACCTTTGGAATCATATATTTTTAAATTAAATGTTAATAAGAGATGGTAAAATAGCTTATGTCAGTTTCTAAAATTCTAAAACATTTCTTTTCAATGTTGCTGGTCCATGAATTCTGAATCCATATACTCCTAGAATGGAGAAATTTCATATGATAGTACCATCGCTCACCAAATCATGGAATTTTACCCTGCTATATGAAAAACAAGCTGCTGTGCACAGTAAGTCTCTATGTCTCTCTGCCTGTTTGTCTTCCTCCCTCCCTCCCTCCCTCCCTCCCTCCCTCCAATTTGTCTCTCTGATTGTGGTCTCTACAATGAAAAGCACACAATTGTGAATTACTGTGAATTGGCAGGATGTTTGTTTCTCTTTCTTCCCAGACAATGTTTTGACCATATCCTACCTAGTCAACTGTGCCAATGTGGACGTTTCTCCTCTTATGATAAACACAGAAAGAAAGATTTTCTTTGTGACCCAAGAAGGGTCAGAGACATTGGGTGCTTGTACTCATCCTTCCAAGTGCTAACCATGAGAACTGCACTAAGCTCCCTCAACTTTCTAAAATGAAGACAATCGATAGATCTTTTGAAACCAGGTGTCCAGTAAGACACAGTGTTTTCTATTGTTCATGGTGATAATCTCCTGCTTCAGAGATACCTGAGGACCAACCCTGTCTCTAGAAAGCTTTTGGGTTCATTAGACTAATCCTGATCCTTTACTGAAAAATACTTTATAACACCCACAGCACCCCCACAAGCCCATGTTTTGCAGGTGCAGGTTTGTGCATGGATGCTTTGTGGTGTAAGCCCCTCTGTTAACCAGGGTTCATGTTTCAGCCTGAGCATCTGTGCCTTTTATCTCTTCAGATGTGCTATCATCTGAAGCAGTGATTGGCACTTCGATCTTACAGATGAGGTATCAGGTCTAAAGAGAGGAGATTAGCAAGGGAATCCTGATGCTATGGACAAGCTTTTAGGACACGAGGCCAGAATGCTTTTAACTTCTGCATCTCATCTCTATCACTCTGCTTTTCTATTTTGTTCAGTGTTAATTAGAAGATAATGGTGTTTCAGAATACATAAATGATATCTGACCTACATGCTGGTTCTTGATTTAGATATCAGTCTTTGTGGAGATAGTTTTGCTTTTGTTTTGCATCAGACTTCCAGACAGTTTAGTTTACCATCTTTAGGTGTCTGCTTGGTGGGTGTGTTACTCCTGAATACAGTCTATTCCTTGTCTGTTATGAGAAAGCTTTGGGAGGATTATGAACTACTAGTTGGCTACTGGTATAATATGCTTTAGGCCCAGAACAGGTTAAAATTCAGGAATCTTTTACGCTTGAAACAGAGAAAAACTATAGGTGTGTCTCCAAAACCCATGGACTGATATATGTAGGGTGATTCACCATACGCATTATTGTTTCCCATAGGGACTTTGTCTTTTGTCTTTCAGGTCTGGGTCTCCTATTTTATATTTGGTGCCTTGAGCTACTGACCTATTTGCAGGAGGAATCACTCCTAACCATGATCATATCAATTCATGGTATATCCACATACATTTGTTTTGGGGATAATTAAGACAGCCCAACTATGTACCCAAGTTGTGTCTCATTCACCTCTATGCCCTCAACAGAACAGATATTCACTCATTGAATGAGGCTGAGCCAACAGAAATGGCCCAGGAGCCTCCTTACCTCATAGAGTGTGATGACCCCATTGGTCTCATTGGGAGGTTTCCACTGGATGTAGATCTTCTCCTCAAAGGGCCCGCCTTGGATGGACTCAAGAGGAACAGCTCCTGGAACTATAGAAGGAACATGCTGTAAGCCTGATGTTACCTCCCATATCATTTCTCCATCTCTACTGACCAAGAACACGGACTATCAAAGTTTCTATAAAGGACTAGGCATTATATGTCAGGACTGATGGCTGATACTATCTCTGATCCAATATCTTGACTCTGCCATTATAGCACAAAAATAGCCATGGATAATCTGTAAATGAAAAAATATGGATGTATTCAATAAAACTATACAAAATTGGACAATGGGATGGATTTGACCCCCTGGAGGAAGACTACTAATGAAGTCATCCTGATCAGGCACAGGGCATGTAAGTAGTCTGCAGCCTGCTTTAGGATTGTGGTTTGATGCATGGAAAATAGGTTTGCCATCATTTTAATAACTCAGCCTCATGGCCCTGCCAAGTTTTCCCCAACTTTATAAAATGTTTCATTGGTTTCTTAATTCCTGGATCCAGCAGCAACCATATGCCCAATTAGAACATCATCATCTTGGTACAAGCAATCATCTGACTCATCATGCTGCTGAGTCTCTTAATCTCTTGTTGGGTAGATGTTTAATATCTACTTGTTAGTTGGATGAAGAGGTTGATGCATGACTATGCCAGTATTTGGCCCCAATGAGCACACTTTTCCTGGGACTGCTTCTTTAATAAGTCAGTCTTTCCATCAGCATCTTCTGGCTGGTTCCAGCATCCTCACACAACAGACTGGAAGATGATGAGCTAGAAAGTAAACGATTCCCGAAACTTCTACTTATAAGTCCTTAGAGAATGAAGAATTCATGTAAATTATTACCAAATCTATTTATACTTCAGCATTATAAAAGCAGGTACCCTTACTAAGTGCTTACTCTTTGTTCAGAATTTCACATACATTATTTCACTTAAGCTACAAAATAGCTCTGCCTAGAATATTATCTCCTTCATGCTGATAAAGGAAGTGAAGCTGTGAAGATGAAATAACTGGGTCAAGGTCATCCCACTCTTAAATCATAAAGAGGGAGTGGAACACCTGTCTCCAAGCTTCAGAGCATATACTCTTAATCATCACACTATGCCTCTCTGGATAGAGCCTTAGCCATATGCTGCAATCAGTTCCCCATTGTCAAATTAAAATACACTTAGGTGTTTTGCATTATGGACATGAGGCATACAATCTGTTGATAGTAATATACAGAAAGATCTTCTGGTCTGTACCAAGTCCTCTGAATATATATTATAGCTTCAGTTTAGAGTTTTTATGAGACTCCTGAGTGTGTGAACCAGCAGGGTCTCTGATTCTTGTGTCTTCTCTTGAGCTTCCTTCCTTCTGTTGGGTTGTTTTGTCCAATTTTGATGAGATTTTAAAAATCTTATCATATTTCACTTTATTATTGTTTCATTATCTCTTAGGAGCATGTTCTTTTCTAAGGAGAGACAGAAAGGGAGTGTCTCTGGATGGGAGGGGCTGAGAGGGGTTGAAGGAAAGGAAACTGTAATCAGGATATAGTATATGAGAAAAGGAAAAGAAACAAAAAACTAAAAACAAAACAAACAAGCAAAAATCTTAAAAGAAGATGGACAAAATCACTCATATCCAAATGCTAAGATAGATTTCCAGTATTGTATGGAAATATAGCTACATATAAATTTTTAAAACATAAAATTTGAATTTACTTTTTTCAAAATTAATCAATTATGTATATGTCATATTTTATCTTTTTTATCACTAGAAAATCATAGGCATTAAAAATTCCTAAAATCTGCATGTTTTTTTGAGATCAAACATTTTAATGGCCACTTGGAGGCCTGTGACTGTACTATGGTTAACTGTCCCTTCTTATTGAGTGTAAAACTGGTTGGAATATTTCATGATTATGGGTAGCACTAGGTTAAACATGATTTATTTTTCAATTACCACACTAGGTATGGGTTTCCTTATGAGACATTCATATGTTCTTTGTTGTTGAACCTCCTTCCCCCACTTCCTTGGCCCTGCCTGTGCCCTTATGCTTCTAGTGCCCCCATTCACCTTCATGTCATGTGTGTTCTTTTCCCTGCCCTGAGTTCCTTACTTAAAACCCATATTTCCCCTCTTTGGAGTGGCAAGACTCTGACCAAAACCCACTCTCTCAAAAATGCACACAAAAATAAGATGCTCAGAGCTATATACAAGAGGCAACATGCAATATTTGAAACTCTGTGCCTGGGTCACCTGACTTAATATAATATTTTCCAGATCCATCCAGGTTCTTGCAAACTTCACAATTTCAGCTCTCTCGATTAGCATTCTTATACATAAGTAACTGCATGCAACTTTGCTTGCATCCTCAAGACAAATTTGTGCCAATTAATTTACTAGGCCTAAGTAGATCTTATTTTTAGGGATTTTGACACATATTACAGATTGCCTCCCAGAAAGTCTGTGTAAGTCTGGGCTCCTAACAGAAGACTATGCTTAGGCCTGATTTCTGCCCACACTGACTATTTAAAAAATTAAGTATATGCATCATTTTTAGAACACTGGAAAGCATTTTTTCACTTTTAATTAGTCATTTGCATTGATTCTTTTAGGAACACTCTCTACACTCTGTGCTCATCTCCCTGTATGTGTCTTTATTTTTGCTCACCTTTGTGTTATGGAATGATAACTATCATCCCTTTGTAAAGACACACTGATTTTTGCATAGTTTACAAAGAGAATTTTTATTTTTGTTCCTGTTTTTGGTTTTTCAAGACAGGGTTTCTCTGTGTAGCCCTAGCTGTCCTAGAACTTGCTTTGTAGACCAGGCTGGTCTCAAACTCACAGAGATCCTCCTGACTCTGCTTCCCCGAGTGCTGGGATTAATGGTGTGCACCACCACCACCTGGATAATTTTTGTTCTTTTTTTAATGCCAGATTTTTACTTGCATTTTAAAGCTTTTATGTATGTAGAAACTTTTAAAATTAGTCAAACTTCTTATTGCTTCTTGCTAAGTCCCTCTCCCTCTCTGAAAATATATCTTAATGTGATGAGGGGATTGCTATTGACATTAGGGATATACAAATAACAAAGAGAAATGTGACCAAATCCTCTTACAGCTTGTGATACAGGGAGTAGACATGTGTTAAATAACTATACCCACAGATTATTTCATTTAAGGGCATACGGTACTAGAAGAACAATGAAGAGAAAAAAGCTAGGCTAGCAAGCCAGGCTATTGAGTGGCAAGTAAGTTAGAGGTGGTGGATATGTAGAAGCACCTAGGGTAAAGGCAGGGAGCATTGGAAGTGTGGTGGATAGCTTTCTGAGTTCAAGAGTGGAAAGAGAAAAATCAGGAAGTCTGTAGTCATTTTGGAGACAAAGGATGCTAACTTGTAGCAGGGAAGGAATATAGAAGAGAAATGAACTGTAGATTTTTGTCTTGCTAAACCAGCATAAATTGATGGTGATCAATAAAGGCAAAGATGACAGGATGTGTCAGAGAGGGCCCCAGTACTGTTAAATATAACTCAGAAATCAGGCTGTTGTCCATATAGAGAAGGATCTTAAAAGATGACTAGTGTTGGAGAGGAATCCAGTGACTTCAGCTTTTCTCAGTCTTGAGGTATATGTAGACCATCCAACCAGAGTGGTGAATAGCCATTGGAGAGACAAGACTAACACCAATGTCTGTATATTGAAATAATGACCTGGGAATAGATCCAGCAACAAGAGTATAGGAAAGAAGGGGAAAGGCAGCTCTCAGACTCAGCTAAGAGAAACTTATCTCAACCATGAGGAGGAAAACACATGGGGGACACTAGGAACCAGTGTTGAGAGAAGCAACTAGGAAACCAGAAAGTTGAGTTGTCACTGCAGCAGCTATGGAGAGAGGGACTTGGGAAGGGACTGGTTAGCAATGATGTATATGATTGAATGGTCAACTCAGAAGGCCTTGATGTTGCTATTGAATCTAGAGTCCCAACACTGTGGCTAAAGTAGTAATGCTTTAGGGAGACTGGTTGTAGAACACTAGCTAGAGAGGGCCAAAAATGAGATGTGTGATGAGCAAAGACTTTTAGTTATGAAGGGCAAGGAAAAGTAAAAGACAACAGAGATGAGAAGTGGGGAAAATATCTATTTACAAAGATGGGAAGTGTTACCACATGGGTAGGCTAGTCAAAAATTATCCAAAAAGGGTCACAAGTTTGAAGGGTGGGAAAGAGAAAGGGGGCTTACTTGGGAGTACTCAGAAAAGAAAAGAGCAGGAATGGGTGGGGAGAAGTCCCTTTATCACTGTGAGAGGTGAAAAAGGTCAGACTGATGGAGCTACTTTGGCAAGGGAACTTGAGTATCCTAATAGCATCATATTTCTCAAAAAGCTGGGGGATAATCTATCTTCCAGGAGTGTAAGAAATTGGGGAGAGTTGAGATAGTTGAATCATTGAGGAGTAGACAGTGAAATGAAGAGAGAAATGGTGTTTCTACTGACTCATCTGAATACTTGTCTGAAGATGGAGAGGGTCTGCCTAGTGGAAGAGGGACTCCCTGTTGAGTAGCAGAGGGCTAGCTTGGTGAGAGAGTTTGAGGGATGGTGAAGGAGGAGGATTTGTCTGATGGGGGTTTTTGATGATGAAATTCAGCTAGCATCACTAGGCTACCTTGTCTTTCCAGCTGACAAATTCTCTTTCTCATCACAGATTAGGCCAATAGAAAACACCAATGAGTAATTATCTTATGACATTTTTATTGACTGCTACTTTTTTCTTTTTATACCTAATACTGTCATCCATTTGGAATTTATTTTCTACATTGTACACAGTAGAAATTTTACCCATAATTCTTCACAATGTTCTTAGGACAATTATTTGGCCAGTGAAAACTTTCCACTGTGATTTAAAATGCTGCCTTTCCACGATGGGTTATTTTATAGCCTCGCATATGTTTTCAGCCTTCACTGAGTCATAGCTCTGAGTATGATAGTATCTCCCTATACATGTTTTAGTACGTGGCTGAACAAGCCCTTCTCTTTCATTATTATTCCCTGTCCATGCTTCTG